ATGTCATTTTATTGGTTATGCAGGCCATTTAGTTTTAATTAATTGATACTATGCCCCTGATTCCTTGCTGAGGACCAGACACCTCACTAAAAATCAGATACCCACTGAAACATTAAAGTACCAAATGCCCTCATGTACTGTACATTATAGTGGAGTTAGGCAGTAGGTTGCTGTCAAAAGAAAACCAGCGGGCACCTTGAGTGATTAAGAGGGGGCTGTATGGGTGTATGACTGTATACATGGTGCATCTAAAAACCTTAAAGCAGCCTACAAACAAAATGCCATGGCTACAGAATCACTCTTCAGTGTTCATAAATATTAGCCCCTTTTATAGACTACTTTTAATGACCATGTTTTTTGTTTGTGGTTTGCAATGTACCTACAGTAAGCCAACTTCAAGCAATATTAGTGCCAATGATTGTGATAAATGCTGAGAATAGCATTTTAGTATTTTTTTTTATTTTGCAATACTTATTTATTGAAAGAAAATTTGGTAACAGAAGATGTTTTTGTCATTAAAACATTAGCGTTAGCTTCAAGTCAAACCAGGTTCAACCCTTCTCCCACCTTTGTCCTCCTTCTTGCCGAAGGTAGGGATTTAAAATTATATTTTGCTGTCATCTAGTGGATATTTCACTGAATTGCAGTTTATGTGTTAAGTACCATCATGACTGAAACATCACAGGAATTTTATTAACTTTTACCATTAGACTAATACATAGCCCTACAGCAACAAAATAATGGCCATGAGTCACTTACTTGCAACTGCATAAATCTATATATATATATATATAGACATTACAATAATATCTCAGATATCTCAGTGTGATAGTATGTCGTCCTTGTATGTGTAATGCTTCTTTATGTCCACATTTACATTGTGGATAAACAGTGCTCATTCATTGAAGGACTTATGGTTCCTGTGTTTGCAGTACCATTTTATGAAACACAATGGCAGAAACCTTGAATAATGCCTCTTGGCCACCCAAACTACAATAGTGAAGATTTGTAGCTATGCTAGTGTTTATGTGAGGGATTGCGATTAGGTGTTTTGATTTTTAATTATGAAGATAAAGTCCTTCTGAGTGAACTAACCCTTACAAATGAAGGTGGCTGTGTGACACATTTGTTGACATTTGTACAAAACCTTTGAAATAACTTGAACTGGTTGTGTTCCACTAAAGATTATGAAGCACTTGCATCTTTACACTCAGAATAGGAGCATTCCTTCTGTGTTTTGAGCAGTGTGGTAGTTTGCTAATGTCTTCCCAGGTGTCATCTGGAAGAAGCTGGTGCCAAAAGACTGTGTCTGCCCCCCGCCCACCTAAATTATATAAATCAAGAATCAACTCCAGAAGTTATTCATAAGAACCTAATTAAAATTAAGATGACTCCTCTTATAGTAGAAAGTAATAGGACAATCAAATGTGGACTATTAAATATCAGATCTCTCTCATCTAAATCTCTGTTAGTGAATGATTTGATAAGTGAACATCACATTGACTTATTGTGTCTTACTGAAACATGGTTACAGCAGCAAGAATATGTCAGCCTAAATGAATCCACTCCACCTAGTCACAGTAACTGTCACATCCCTCGAAACACAGGAAGGGGTGGAGGTGTGGCAGCGATGTTTGACACAAGCCTATTAATCAACCCTAGACCTAAACATAGTTATAACTCATTTGAAAGTCTCACCCTGAGTCTCTCACACCCAAACTGGAAAACTCAAAAGCCTGTTCTGTTTGTGATTGTATACCGTCTACCTGCTCCTTATTCAGAGTTTTTAAGTGAATTCTCAGACTTTCTGTCTGATTTAGTGCTTAGTACAGATAAAATAATCATAGTAGGCGACTTTAATATTCATGTAGATGCCGACAATGACAGCCTCAACAATGCATTCTGTTCATTATTAGACTCAGTTGGCTTCTCTCAAACTAAATAAACCCACTCACTGTTTTAATCACACTCTTGATCTGGTTCTGACATATGGCATCAAAACTGAACACTTAATAGTTTTTCCCCATAACCCTCTTCTGTCTGACCATTTTCTAATAACTTTTGAATTTACATTAATGGATTATACTCTATGTGGGAAACAATTCCACTACAGCAGATGTCCATCTGGCAATGCTGTTACCAAGTTTAAGGAAATAATTCCATCTTTATCTACTTCAGTGCCGTTTGCCAACACAGTGGAAGGAGGCCACCTTAACTTTACTCCAACACAAATCGATAATCTTGTTGATAGTACTGCAGCCTTCCTGCGTAATACACTTATACCATTGCCCCTCTGAAAAGGAAGGCAGTGAAACAGAGAAGGCTAGCCCCATGGTACAGCTCGCAACTCCGTTCCTTAAAGCAGGCATCACGAAAAATGGAAAGGAGGTGGCGCTCCACTAAGTCAGAAGAGTTTTCTATAGCCTGGAAAGATAGTTTAATAACATATAAGAAAGCCCTTCATAGTGCCAGAACCACATTTTATTCATCACTGATTGAGGAAAATAAGAACAACCCCAGGTTTCTTTTCAGCACTGTAGCCAGGCTGACAAAGAGCCACAGTGCTGTTGAGCTTAACATTCCCTTAGATCTCAGCAGCAATGACTTCATGAGCTTCTTTACAAATAAAATCACAACTATTAGAGAAAAAAATTGGTCGGACCACTCCCACAGCTCTCACAGATGTGCCATCTACTACAATGGCTTTAGAAACATCTGTAAGACCTCATTTATACTTGGACTACTTCTCCCCTATAGATCTCTCTGAGTTGACCTCAACAATTGCTTCATCTAAATCATCAACATGGCTCCTGGACCCCATCCCGACCAGGCTGCTCAAAGACGTCTTTCCCCTAATCAACACATCCATACTAGATCTGATTAACCTCCCTCTATTAACAGGTTATGTTCCACAGGCTTTTAAACTTGCAGTAATTAAACCTCTACTCAAAAAGCCTACTCTTGACCCAGGTGTCCTAGCTAATTATAGACCAATATC